AAAAAAAAAAAAAAAAAAAAAAAAAAAAAGTCTAAACGAACCAAATGTGAATGTTGGAAATAGAAACGACAGTGTCGACCACCCCAGGTCCCCTGAGTAGACAAAATACAAAGGATCAGGGGACAGGAAGGGCCATGGTAGGTATTTTCCTGGGGGAGGAATGGAAAATAAAGTGTACCAAACAAGTGAGCTGGGCAAAGAACGTTTGAAGAAATATTAGTTGAAAATCTTAGGTGTGGTCAGCCGCAGAGCCCCCAGATCCAGGCACTCAGGGACAAACTTTGTCTCAACCTCAAATTCATATCTAGCAAAGCTATGATTCGAGAAAGGAGAAACAAAGGTCTCTTCCGTGAAGCGAACGCCGTGAGCATGAGCCCCGTATGCTTCAGCGGGTAGGAAGCGCAGTCAGGGAGGACATGGAAGAGTGGAATCGGAGGTTTTCTGTAAATCAATTTCTCACTTTTAAAAATGTTGCCAAGAGACAAGTTGACTTTTTAAAATACAAATTAAAAAAAAACTTTCAGGGTTTTATAATAGAGGTAGAAGCAAAATCCGCAGCCCCAACAGGACTGAGGCAGGTTGCTGAGACAGGAGGCTTCCTTGTGGAGATTGGTCCCTGGAAGGGACAGGGATGCGTTAGAGTGAGCAGCGTGACCTCAGGGGCAGCTGCTTTATGCAGAGCACAAAGGGGGAGCAGGAAGTGAGGCGCGGAGCTAGAAGGAAATGCTAAGGAGTCCCTGACCCCCGGAGGGAGAATGGCAGAGAACCAAGAGGGGGTGGGACATGGAGAGGAACCTCAGAGCCCGTAAATGAGCCAAGTGCTCAGAAAGCGTGGGCTGTCAGGTGGGTTCCACAGAGACCCCGTGGGGACAAGCAGGATCTAAGCGGCTGGAGCATGCAGGCCAGGCACGGTCACCTGGATGCCCACACCGGCTGTGGCCTCTGTCCCCTGTCCTCTGCCAGTAACTCCTCTTTCTCTGCCTGACCACAGCCAGTGTCCCTGTGGTCACTGAGGGTGTGGCCAGGTCAGGCCGTGGGCAGTGGGTGGGAGGGAGATGTGTCACCACGGACACCCCCCAAGCTCCATGGCAGGTCCTCCATGCTCTCTGTGGCCAGAATGCAGATACCCCTGGGGCCAGGGGCCACCAAGAGGCTGAAGCAGCAACAAGAAGAGGAGCTGGCAGGCAGCACCCATGCAGGGCTCCCTGGCGGGGGACAGAGGCGCCCCATGTGCTCCGAGCCCTGGTGAACTCAGGCTCTGTTGCCCCTGCTTGCTTTGCAGTAATGGTGCACTCTGATCGGGAATCCGGATGTCCCAGATCAACAGGTGATCATGCAGGTCTCCTTGCTTACTCTCTGACCTGAAACCTAAGCGCATTTTCTTCTCCTGCTTGGGAGGCCAGGTGCAGGCAGATACCCTTGCCCTGGGGCCTGGCCTAGGGGTGTCCGGGTAGCGCCTCCACAGGGACAGCACCAGGGAGCTCTGCAGCGGGCCGTCCAGTGTAAGGTGGGCAGTTCTAGCGTGTGGTTTTTGATCCTGGTCCCTAAACTGGCCCTCACTACTGTGACAATCCCAGGAGCCCTCCCTGGGGCACAGGGACATCCATGTCCCGGGTTGGTGCCACCCACCAGCGTGGGGTGGGTGTGGCAGTCAGAACAGAGAAAGGAGGAAGTGGGCAGGGCACAGGCACCCATGGGACCCGTGGGCAGCTGTGTGCCTCCAAGACAGCTTCCTTCTGTCCTGAGCCTCAGTTTCCCCATCATGGCAGGAAGAGGCCTCACAAGTCCAGCAGCTGCCCAGCCTGGTGAGGAAGGATCTCTCTTCCTGGATGCTTAATTGCTCCTGTTTGTTTTATTTCTTACACAGAGAAATAAACTCTCACTGAGTTCCTTTGTTTTTAAAGAAGATCAATTCAAGCATAATTGGTTCAATGTATTAAAATTACAATTTCAAAACCCCAATGCTTTCTTAAGCCTTTAAATTTGGCTTCTAAACCCTTTTCTCCCTATAGCAGGCAAATTTTAATGACTCCATTTAAGGAGATTGTGAATAATTCTTGGTCCATTCGCTGACTTGGTTATTTAACAGCTTTAAGCATTTTAATTGCATTTATGAAGTTAATATATTCTAATTTATGATGTATTTCACTTGCCTACCTTTAACAAAACCTTCTCGGTATAAGCTAATTTTGTTCTAAAAAAAAAAATCTAATAATTTAAACATATAAACGCGATGAACATATGGGAGGTTTCCTAAATGCTCCTAAACTCCACATAAACATAGCAAGATTTCCATGTAAAGTCACCGAGCTGTTCAGCCTTTCTGCTTTGCATTTTCAGTGGACTTGTCCCACTGTCACCGGTAGGGCCAATTCTCCTAAATATTGCCAATATTCAAAATGCCAAATGACGTAGATTTCTTGGTGCTAAAGTATTCTTACTATGAATTCCCATCTCTGGATTCTGTCTAGACTTAGGAAGGAGCCCATGGCCACACTGGGTCCCCAAGGACAGAGGCCCATGCAGGATGCCCTGGCGTCCATCCGCCAGCCGGGGGTGCCCTGACTGTGTGCTGTCCTGCTGGGCACCCAGGGGAGGTGCCTCATCCCTGGTTTCCCCATCTGCCCATCTGTGCAGGTCCCTGGCTCCCTGTGGGGCCTGGCCCCTCCTGGGCTCTGGGAGGCTTAAGTGATGGTTTCCTCAGGGTTCCTGCGGTCAGGCTCTGCCAGCGCCAAGTCTCAGGGGATTGGTCTGAGGTGGGGACTGAACTCAGGTGGGTGGGGCTGGGGGACATACCTGCCACCTCTGCTCAGCTCTAATGAGACTGAGCCCTAGGACTGCATCTGCTTTAGGACTGAGTTCTCCACAGGTGTGGACAGCACCTGAGGCCCAGGAGGATCCGGACCCTCTCATCCCCTCCTGGGCTTGGGTTCTGCTTAGCCTCCCTGCCCCTCACTCTACGGCTCTCCTTTTGTCCCTTTGTAGTGGCACTGGGCCCACCCAGGTAAGACGAGGCCACATCCCATTTTGAGATCCTTAACCCATCTACATTTTGCCACATAAGATTCCAGGTTCTGGGGTCAGTATTCAGCCTACTGCACAAATATTTTCTCTCAGTCTGTGTTTTTCGTTTTGTTCCCTTAACTCAGCCTCCCTCACCCCACCAGTACCAGGGCTTGAACCCAGGGCCTTGCACATGCTGGATAAGGGCTCTCCCATGGACTATACACTCGCCCTCAACAGAAGCTTTCAAAGTGCAGAAAGTTTTGATTCTGATGCCATTCATTAGGGTGACCCTAAGGACCTTCGGGCCGTGCTGTTCACAGGCTGTCTGATTCTCTCTCTGAGAGTGGGAAAGACTCATAAGTTGCTTTTATCCAGGAGAATGTGGCAAGGATAATCATGTGTGTGTGTGTGTGTGTGTGAGTGTGTGTGTGTGATTGGATTCCTTCATGTGAAATTGCTGGTTTTACATCCCCTTGCTAGCTCAGAGGCAGGAAGTAGCCAGGCTAGGATCCCACGGAAGGAGCTGCTGGTATCCTTTAGGAGCTAAGGTCCTTTCCAGCCAACACCTAGCGAGGACAGGACTGCTCCCTCATTCCTACAATACTGGGGCGGATTCTGTCAGTGAGCTGAAAAATGGACCATGCCCGTCTGGGCACATTTGAGGCTGTGCCCTGCCTGGTACCCAGACTGCGGGTCCTTGGAGACCTCTGCAGAGAAGCCAGTGAGGCCGTGTGTGGACTCCTGCCCCACAGTCACCGTGAGACACCGGCAGTGGGTTTCTGGTAGCACCCAAGATGCAGTGATTTGTTAGGCCACAAAAGAAAACGAATACTTTCTGTTCCTCACTGTGAGAAGATTTAAAAAATCTGCCATAGGGGTGATCATAAATATTTCTCTGTTTCTTTCAAGATGACCATATTTGTTTTCCTTTTGTCAGTCTGCTGAAATGAAGAATTACATCGACTTTTCAAATGATAAACACATCTTCCTGGACTAAATCTCACTTGGTGTTGATATTTTTTTTTAATATGCTGCTGCATTTGACTTACTAAGATTTGGCTTAGATTTGTGTCTATGTTCGCAAGGGAGATTGGTCCACAGTTTTTGTTTGTGTTTGTTTGTTTTTAATGAAATGATTTTCGTCTCGTTTTAGCATTAGGGGAATGATGAGTCCCGAGAGTGAGTTAGGAAGTAGCTGTAACTTTGTGATTTTGGAGAGTGTGCAAAGAATTGCTGTTATTTCTTCCTTGAAGGTTTGGTCGGTTTTCATCGGAGAAGTCACCTGGGGCTGACGTTTCCTTCGTGGCCTCTTGATTCTGTGCCATTGATTTGGATGTCGACATTCTGAATGGCAGGCACCCTCTGAGCTTGATAAGGCTTCCCTAGGATGAAAATGAAGCCTTAACTATAATTTTGGTTTACTGTATTCACGTGGGGTTGTTCATGCTGTGTTTCTGGAGTGACTTTGGTAATTCGAGGAAGTTGTTAAATGTGTTGACCCCAAATTGTCCCTGTATATCCCTTGTAATGTCTGTGGAGCGTGCAGTGATAACATGTCTCTATTCTTGAGGGTGAGATTCTGTGCTCCCTCGCTCTCTGTTTTATTTTTCTCCAGTCTTGCTAGAGGTTTATAAGTTTCATTGACCTTCCCCAAGAATCAGCTTTGATTATATTGATTTTCTCTGCTGC